ACCTACTTTCGTAGTTCGCAAACGAATGCTGATGATGCTATGATCTGACACGGCACGAGGACACGATGCCAAATGAAAAATACAATTTCCCTCAACGCCAAAGAAGAAAGAAAAAAAAAGGGAAAAAGTCTCTTTCCAGCACAGCGATCCAGTCACGCAGCTGGATATTCTTCCCCTTTTCCTTGTCCTCTCGCCACGTTCCCAGTCTGTTCCGGCCTTCCGTAGTCAACGCCATATTGCCCGAAGCCGTTACGCTGGGCACGCCGTTTGGGCCTTTGCCCGGTCCTGGAGCGGCTCTTGTCGGGGTACTGGTTCCGCTTCCACCTCGGCCAACATTCATCCAGTCATAGGATTTTGCCTTCTTCTTGCCAAAGAGGCCACTCTTGCCTCCTAAGCCTGCGAACATGCTGCTGGTAATGTTTTGATTTGCATGACTACTCGCTTCTTGAGCTTTCATTTGCTGGGTCTTCTTCAACTCCTTCTTCGTCATCGCCTTTTCCGTCTCTGGCGCTACTGATCCGGGCGTGCCAGGTGCTACGCTTCCCGATCGTGAAGCTGAAGCGCCTGCGTCGGCGACACCGTCTTTGCGCATCTGGCGTCTACGCAGCCGAGCCTCTTCCCATTCTCGCTCTTGACGGGCTAAATCTCGCATTGTTAGCGTTGCATAAGAGGCAATCTTGGGCAACTTTGCGGGCGGCTGTTTGACGGCCGTATCACTGGTGTCGGCAGGACCTGCGAAGTGTGAGTGGATTATATTTACGAGCAATGCATGGAAACGTTAGTGAGCTTACGCTTCAAAGGACTAGTACCGCTGCCAGTCTCGGTGTCTTTTCCAGTCCCGTTCGCGTCGGTAGCCTTTTCCATGGGTTCTAGCGGCTCCGCGTTCATTGGAGCAGCTGCGGCTGCCCACTCTGGAGGTACCTCTCCATGCGACGTCTTTTGCCGTGTTCTTGAAATGATATTTGCGTCTTCGATCAACTCACGTAGTCTCTGTTTCGTTGCTATCGACATCAGAGCAAGTTGGTCCACTAGATAAGCGTCCTGCGGAATGAAAGAGCCGCTAGTTTCCACTATGGTGCCATCCGGCCCCGGCTGTGTCTTGATGGTAACTTTGGGCGCCGCAAAGTTCTCCGGCAGCTTCATCTTCCCCATAGAATGAGTGTTGTTCTTGAGCTCAAGGTTAAGACCGAGATGATGTTCGCGGGCAACTTTTTCTGCTCGGCGATGCAGTAGTGCCACGAGAAGAAAAGGGTCATTGATCTCCTGGGTTCTCTGCACAGCAAGCCGCATTGATGAATCCTGCCATGCCTGCTCAGCGGCCTGAGCGCTATACTGCTGCTGTGACAAGTCTGTAGGCTGAGCAGGTTGGTTGGCAGGGCCAGCGCCGTAAAACGTTGACTTTGAGCCCGATGGATAGTGGGCAAATCCCGTCCTGGCCTCCGATATTGTCTCGAGAGCATTCGAGTAAAGCTCTGCCATATATTGCTCTTCTGCTCGGAGATCGATGCCTGTACCGGCCAATGAATCGGTCACGTCATACTCGTAGTCTTTCGTCGGCCTTTCTGCTGGCTTCTGTGGAGGGCCCATCACGCCTGGAGTCTGCATCTGTTGATGGGCTACTTGCAACATGGGCTGCATTGTTGCGTTCGTATATTGGGGCATTGTGATCGGAGTCGGTAGTGGAACTGGAGTTTGCACTGGTCCTGGCATTGGCACATGCATCGGCGATTGTTGTTGCATCGGGGCTTGCATCGGGGCTTGCATCGGAGCTTGCATCGGAGCTTGCATTGGCGTTTGCATCTGCACTGGTGTCTGCATCTGCACCGGCGTTTGTATCTGAGCTGGCTGGGGTGTATGCATAGTGGGCGTTGATACACCTGGTGAGGCAGCTGGAAGACTCAAGCCTTGTGGAGGATGGCCATTGGTGTACGGCATAGGATACCCAGCTGTTGCAGTCGGTGTTTGCGGATGGGCTTGAGGATACGTCGGTGATCCAGCTGGAGGCGGGGGAGTAGCCGCAGGCACCGGGCTCATGGTGTATGGCGAAGCAGCATACGGCGATCCAGGCTGTGACAATGGGCCATCCGTTCGAATTCGTTTGTTAGGAGGCAGCGCAAAACCCGACTGTGATGACGTCGCGGGCGATGGGCTTGGCTGAGGAGGCGAAAATGCCCGCTGTGGAACCTGCGACGGCGGCGGTTGCTGCTGCGGTTGTGGTTGCGCCATGGTGTCTGCTATTCTGGTAATGAAATCAAACGAATGTCCCGGCAGTATCGAATTCGGCGAATCTGTCCCACGAGGCAAACGAAAGCCGGGGTGGACGATGGGCGGCTGCGGCAATCGAGGCGCTCAACAGGCAGCGAAGCCTGTCACGGTCACCGTACCTCGTCCCATCCGACGCGCAAAATCGGCACCAGTCTCCCAAGCGGAATACGTGTTGGCTTCGCTGGAAAAAAAGACAGGCTCCTGGAGATTCGATTTCGGAGGGTTCGGGAGATGGAAATGCGCTTCGTGCGGTCGTCGTTAAAGAGCCGGAGATCTGGAGGCGATCTGTATGAAGTTGAAGCTTCGCAGCAGAGGTTGGGGGTCGCGTAAATTTAAAGTCACGTGCACCGGAGCTTCGCAGCCAACCACGCGTCGCTACCCGGGCTTTAGCCGCTGCTATTGTCTCTATTCGCTGCAAGCCAATTGATGTCGCCATGAATAGTTTCAAACTTCACGTTGCCGCCGAGACTCTCCTTGAGGATACCCATCCGGCTATTGTTGCGTCCCTTGCGCAGCGGGTCGAGGCCATTAGTGCTGAGCTGAAGCTCGCTCTCTACTATTAGGATAACCAAAGATTGAAGCTTGCTCTCTCCGTGCTGATATGAATTACTGTCCATCTTTTTCCCCCTTCTAGGCAGATTATTTGACCACAACGCGACCATGGCATCCAAGCGGAAGGCGTCTGCGATGAACGCAGCCCAAGACGAGCCAGTAGATCCCTCTGACGAGCTCATGTTTCTCTGTTTGGGAGGCGGCAATGAAGTCGGACGGTCGTGCCATATCATCCAATACAAGGGCAAAACGGTCATGGTGAGGAAACTCCGAGGTGCCCTCAAAAGCTACCATGTGCACTCGGCTAATTGTTTTATCTGCCATGTCTAGCTTGATGCCGGCCAGCACCCTGCATACGATGGCCTCGCAGCGCTTCCGTTCTATGATGACTTCGATCTCAGCACCGTAGATGTGCTCCTTATCAGCCAGTAAGCGATATATCCCGTACACAATCTCCCCCATCTTCCTGCATCTGTCGAAACAAAAGAAGAAGAAAATATGCCAGGCTATAGGCGAAGGACGAGTTGGTACTCTTACGAAGGAAAAGGGCCGCGGCGTGTGCCCTGATGCAGTGTCTCTCTTCAATTGTCTATATGTCTCCCACTTGTATGCCAGTTATGAATACAATATGTTCTTCGCCCGTTCACACTCTTGCCCGAGACTCATCTCTGTTGCCTTGTGATATACCAAATCCAATACCTGCTGTTGCCCCACAACGAGGAAACCTCCACGAATGTCTCGAAATCTTTCGCTAACCCGTGGCGATTAGTTTCCACATTGATCATGCGGCTTCGTTGCCATATGTGCTGGCCAAGACCAACTTTCGCGGCCGTGTCTTCATGACGCACCCTACCAAGGCCATCTACAAATGGCTCATCCAAGACAGCGTCCGTGTAGGAAACACGGCATCAAACTCGGCGACCCAGCTCTACACGGAACAAGACCACCTCAACACGTTTCCGCAAATCGAAGCGATTGACTATCACACCACTCACACTATCTCTTCCATCCGAATCACCCCTTATCCGGCAGGACACGTTCTGGGAGCAGCCATGTTTCTCATTGAGATTGCCGGCCTCAACATCTTCTTCACCGGCGACTATTCGCGTGAGCAGGATCGACATCTTGTCTCGGCAGAGGTGCCCAAGGGCCTCAAGATTGACGTTCTCATCACCGAGTCAACATATGGCATAGCGTCGCACGTACCGCGTGTTGAGCGAGAGCAGGCTCTCATGAAATCCATCACAGGAATCCTCAACAGAGGCGGCCGAGCGCTGCTGCCGGTGTTCGCCCTGGGACGAGCTCAGGAACTTTTGCTCATCCTGGACGAGTACTGGGGCAAACATTCCGAGTTCCAAAAATTCCCCATCTACTATGCCAGTAACCTTGCCAGAAAGTGCATGGTTATCTACCAGACATACGTCGGTGCTATGAACGACAACATTAAACGATTGTTCCGAGAACGCATGGCCGAGGCCGAAGCCAGCGGCGACGGAGCCGGCAAGAATGGACCCTGGGACTTCAAGTATATCCGCTCTCTCAAGAACCTGGACCGCTTTGATGATGTTGGCGGCTGCGTCATGCTCGCCAGTCCGGGTATGCTGCAAAACGGAGTGAGCAGAGAGCTCTTTGAGCGCTGGGCCCCCAGCGAGAAGAACGGCGTCATCATCACCGGTTACAGTGTCGAGGGCACCATGGCCCGGCAGATTATGCAAGAGCCGGATCAGATCCAGGCCGTCATGTCTCGAAGCATAGCGGGCGCGCGCCGAGGGCCAGGAGCAGATTCGGAGAAAGTGCTTATTCCCCGGCGCTGTAGTGTTCAAGAGTACTCTTTTGCCGCCCATGTTGATGGTGTAGAGAACAGGGAGTTTATTGAGGAGGTTGCCGCACCCGTCGTCGTATGTAACTCCGTTTCCTGTCAAGCGTTCAGAAGTGAGTATTAGTGACTAACACGAAAGATAGATTCTTGTTCACGGCGAGCAGCACAACATGATGCGTCTCAAGTCCAAGCTCCTCTCCCTCAACGCCAGCAAAACTACAAAAGTCAAAGTCTACTCTCCCCGCAACTGCGAAGAGCTCCGCATCCCGTTCAAAGCCGACAAGACTGCCAAAGTCGTCGGAAAACTGGCTTCCATCTCACCTCCACAGGACATTGACGCATCTGCGCCTCTCGTAACCGGTGTGCTTGTCCAGAACGACTTCAAACTCTCACTCATGGCTCCTGAAGATCTGCGCGAATACGCTGGCCTCAACACCACAACCATCACCTGTAAGCAGCGCCTCACACTGAGTGCTGCGGGCGTGGATCTCGTCCGCTGGGCGCTGGAGGGGACTTTTGGTGCTGTTGAAGAGCTCCCCGAGATGCGTCGCATCAAGAGCTCCAAGCAGGACGCAACCATGGACGGCGAAGATGAGAAAATGGCCGAAGATGCAGACGAGGAGGTTGCCAATCTGGTAGCAGCCTACCTCGTCATGGGCTGTGTCTCTGTCCGTTATCGCACCAACGGCGAGGTCGAACTGGAGTGGGAAGGCAACATGCTCAACGACGGCATCGCCGACTCCGTCATGGCCGTCTTATTCTCCGTCGAGAGCTCCCCCGCCGCAGTCAAACGCTCCTCCGCCAACAGCAAACACACCCACTCTCACGGCGAGCCCGATGACGGCATTTACGCCGCTCAGCCCGACAGCAAAAACCCGCACGCTCACATCTCCCCTGAAGACCGACTTGAACGGCTCATGTGGTTCCTGGAAGCTCAGTTTGGTGCCGATAACGTCGCCCCCGTGGAGGACCCCAAGCTCCCGCCACTACCAGAAGCTTCTCCAAAGGAAGAAGATCAAAAGAAGGAAGAGGAAGATGACGGAGCCGTGAAAACAGAAAAACATGAAGCAGACGGCAGTGACACGAAAACAGAGGACATGGACATTGACGACAAGAAATCGACCGAGGATGAAGACGAAGCCAAACAGCAGCTTCAGGAGCGACAGCTCAAAGAAATCGCCCGCCTACACAAACTCGGCATCCCCGTCCCCGGCATATCCATCAAGGTCGACAAGATGACCGCGACAATATGGCTCGAGGACCTAGAGGTAGAATGCAGCAACAAGGTGTTTGCAGACAGAGTCCGCGCGGTGGTGGAGCGAGCAGTGGAGGTTACCGCTCCGCTGTGGGGATGAAAGGGGGATAAGAGAGAAGAAATCTCAGGATGAAGAGTTATATAATCACTACGGGAAGGGAAGAAGGGGAAATTTCGGAATATGGAGCTTTTGAACATTCATTGACCAGGAGCGGGAGTAAGTCAAAGGGAGACGAACACGAGATCTAGATGAATATCATACACCAGCGTTGAAGAGAGAAAATAGAAGAAAAAAAAATTCCAAATCTGTAATTACGAATCCCCCCAAAAAAAAAACATCTTTTGACCAAGTAGTTTGTTTACTTTTACAGTGGTGATAGCAGATCAAAGCATGCCATTGTGTTTCCTCTTACATTCTACTTTTCTACTTTTACAAAGAGTGCATGCATGAGTCGATGTATGAAGAAAGAGATGCAAAATATAATCATACAAAGGGTAGTGGGCCATTGTCAGCCCCCCACTCAAGTCTACTACATTGTTGGAAAGGAAACAGGAAACAAAAGAGTATAAAGGAAAAAGTAACATTAATACCACATATAACAACACAGCTTCCCTTGTCCGCTTACTCCAGGTAATTCTTCAGCTCCTCCGACTCTTCTATCAGCGTGTTGAAAGCAAAAGGCGCAAACGGCCAGCCCGCAAACTCTGCAAACTTGGAAAAGGACTCGACCCACGCCAGTCGCAGAGAGTGCAACATGGCACTAGTACCCTCCATACAAACCAAAATGGCAATTGCTAGTAGAGCTGTTAGTACTGTTATCAGGTCAAAGAAGATAGTATGTGCATATCACTTACTAAGGAAGAACCACAAGTAAAAGCCAATGACGATCATGATCACGCCAAGCAAACCTGGTCTGGTTAGGCAGGGGCCAATCGTCATATCCCAAAGCACAACGCTGAGCTGCTGGTGGGCAAGTGACAAGGCCCAAAGACGCAAGTAAGACGCGGTGTGAGAAACACAGTTCAGACAGAATTCTGAATGAAAATGATACGTTAGCATTATTCAGAGTAAGTAGAAAAGGGGCTAGAACAGATTCTTTTGAGTCAAACGGGGGTTTGTTACTTACCAATAGTGTGGATGATTTGGTGAATCATGACTTCGCTAAACTCGAATTCCTCGTGCTCTTCGTCAATGTTCTGAGAAATCATAGCAACGCCCTCGTCCTCGTCAAAACTATTGCCGTGTCCACCGACCAGGGCCTCGCTCTCGTCATCGCCGTCCAGAGCGCTAACCCGGGAAGTCTCGCCGATGCCTCGGTAGCCTCGACCACGGGCATGGTTGTTCTCCCAGCGAAGGTAGAAGGGCTTGAGGAAGAGCAGGATGGGTACTTGGGCAAAAGCCAGGAGCAGAAGGATAGTCTGAACATACTCCTGCCCAGCATACAAACGCTCATCCAGCTTTCCTGGCTGCAAGAACATGTAGATCAGCATGTTCAAGAGACCAGGGGGGTTTCTTCCAACGGCTGGCCAGTCAACAGACCACTTGTAGATGATACACACGACGAGATAGCCAAAGATGGATTGGAAAAAGATCATGCCGGGGATGAAGTTGCCCCAGATATCAATGGGCTTCTTGAAGTGCCGGGCGTTGATGTAGGCGAAGCACAGCGAATAGGTCATGTGTGCCCAACCAAGAATGATACTCATCTTCATCTTGTAACTGTTGGTGAAGAGGAGGTTGTTCTCGGTACCGTGCCAAGCCCAGTCGAGACCAAAGGGATAGCGGTAACCATTGCTGTTGAGGACAGCAGTAACGGAATCGCCCTGCTTCCAGTTATCGGGACGCTCGTACTCCCATGCGCTATCCCAGAGGGTCATGGACTTGGAGAAGATATCGTTGTACATAAGACCAGTGTAGACTGAGAAGACAGCCATGACCAAAGCGATATATCGGCCGTAAAAGATCATGGCAAACAGTTCAAAGGAGACTTTCTTGAGCGACTTCTCCCAATAGATCATGGCCAAAGCGGCAGCAAGCATAATGACGGCATGTCCAAGATCACCAAACATGACAGCGAACAAGAATGGAAAGGTGACGATGACCGGCAGAGCAGGATTGACTTCCTGGTAGGTGGCTGTGCCGTACGCGTTGACAATGGTTTGGAATCCTTCTGTAAACTTGTTGGTCTTTAGGTAGGTTGGAGGCTTCTTGTTCGTTCGAATCTCGTTGACAATGGAAGGGACAGATAAGCCAGCTCGGTTGGTGACGTCTTGAAGCGTAGACCGGATGAGAGGCATGTCGTTGGTGGGGCACCATGCTTCGGCGATGAGGGTTCGGCGAGCCGAATCGTAGGAGAAGAGGTTGAGCGTGCTGTATACAGCCTTTTCCTTGGCGATGAGAACCGTCCAAGGAGCCAGCGACTGGGAGATTTGGTTGAGCTCCGCCTCCAGTGTAGCTTGGGTGTTTCGGAGGACATTCTGCACGTCCTCGAGGCGGTTGTTCACCTCGTGAATCTGGTCGCGGCGGAGTTCGCTGTTCTCGTCGACGTTGTAAACATCGGCGCCCATGGACTCGGATATCTTGCGAATCTTGTTGAGAATCTCCTTGCCGTGGGCGAAGATGACGAAGACGTTCTTCTGGATGGCTTCGTTGTTGGTTGGGTCGATCAGCGGCTCCGGGATCTCCGACTGGTTCATGTACAAGTTTCCACGAAGGGTTCGCCAGAGGATACGCTCGAAAGCGGCGACACGGTCCCTATTGATGACACCGGCGACGAATCCGATGTTCATGCCGGAGAATGAGCGCTCCACGTCAGGCGCAGTGTTATGCTGCTCCATGTCGGATAAGAGAGGCGCATCGTCGTTGTCGGTTGACGCGCGAATCTCATCGACATTGCCGTGAGCGCGATCGAAAAAGCTTCCGGCCTCGCGCAGAACCCAGCGCCACTCAGTGAGATCACCCTCACGCTTTTTCAATGTCTCATAACTGTCGTTGAGGGCCGAGATGCGCTGCTCAAGCTTCTGAGATCGCTCAGCAAGCTCGTCGATTTCCGACGTCGATGGGGACGCAAGCTTCTCGGCATCAAGATCCAGCTTTCGCAGAGTAATTCCAGCCTTTTCCATCTGAGCATAAAAGTAGCCTAAGAGAGTTGATTCGTTAGTCGGAAACGCGATCGAGTGGGTGGTGAGAATCATCTCGTCGGTGACGTACGCAGTTGTCGCTCCACATTATCGAGACGGCGAATCTCCTGGGTAAAGGTTCGCTGGAAAGCGCTGACATCCTCATTGAGCTAATTTCACCATAAAATGATCAGTTAGCATCTTAATCCTAGGCCGGCGGCATCGCGACCAGGGCGAGAGAAGGGGGCGAGAGATATACATCACGGAACTGGCACAGTCCAAGCTCTCCGAGCGCAGTAACAACCTCCCGACCGATTTCGTTGGAGACGTAGAGCTGCACCATGCTCATGTCCGCCGAGCGGAACGGCGTGTCCTTTCGCGGAGCCATGGTGACGCTGGCGACTTCAAAAGCGCCTAAAACCCACTCGACTCGAAGGATTGGGGTTGATGTCGAACTGGAATAAAGAGAGACGGGCGAAGACAGAGCTTCCTTTGGAGATGGCAAGTAGAGCACGGCAGGCGCTTAGCGGTTGGAGCCAGCCATAGTCCAGGGCGGCGCCGCGAATTGTTCCGTGGCTCAAGGTACCTGCGTCCGTCACGTGCACAGCCTCAAAGGCATCTTCCAAGTTTTTGGGGAGGCTTCAGCTGCGCGCACCAAATACGGAGCCCCCGTCGGAGCCAAAACTAGGGCCGTGTCAAGATATCCAAACAGTGGACGCTGCTTCCTTTTTGCATTCGTAATGAGTAGAAAGCTTTACCCGATGCTTTTACACGGAGCCTATCATTTCAAATTATTGTCAGCTTGAGAGTAAGTCAAAGGCTGCTCTACTACTTGATAATTGATGGTAGATGCCTGGCACCTAGCAGCATTCAATTTCCTAATTCGGTCACATATGACTGCATCAGACTCCGTCATCAGACCGGGGCCGCTCACCGACAGACTTTACGACAGGAGAAAAGACAGGCATTGTTCATTCATTTATTCATTCAATTAGCAATCAGACCGCAAGAGTCCCAAAAGCATCGAGAGATGATAATAATACAGAGTGCATAATACGCGGTCTAAATAATGGATATCGCCTGGCATGATGCTTTGGTTCCCTGTTCCCCCTTGGCCAACCTGCGCCCTTTGCTATCCGATAATAAACGCCGTAACTTTTTTTTGTCTTTTCCCTCGCTGAACTGAACGCTGAGCAAAAAAAAGCTTTTGGATATCCTTCCAGTCCCAAACACCGTCCGGTAGATGATATAAACCACGCTCTTCGCGAAAGTCAACAACAAGAACGAAGAAGAGAAGAGATCCGATCAATCCGCAGAATTGTAAACAGATACAAAGAGAATAAGAAAACTGACAAAAACATATTCCGTGAAATTATAACAAAAAAAAAGTCGTGTCATTAAAGACGCCGTCCAAACATAAAAGAGCCGTACATGCCTCCGACTTCGGCGACGGCAACGGGGACCTTTCTCATTCCCCAGCTCTCGGCGCCCATCTTCCACACGCGGCTGCCGTTATCCTGAGTCGTGCCGTCGGGATTTCTCCGCACAAGCCAATAGCGAGCGCCAAACTCTTTGGCAGTCCAGCCTACGCGCTCAAGGCTCTTGTTGGCTTTAGCGGCCCGTTCATAGGACCGCTCGCCGATTTCAATCACATGGAGCGGAGCAGAAGCCGGGGCCAGCAGGTCGCTGGCACTTCCAATAATCGTTTCAATGTCCGAAATATCGATGAATTTCAAATTATGGGGCAGGGCTGTCTTGTCTTGGAAAAACAGCCCGTGAACGTCAGTCATGCTCAATCCTCGGCCAAGAGCGAGCTCCTCCAAAGATTGCGAGAGTCTGATAAGCTCCGGCAGGTTTGACGAGTCCATTCGGCTACCGCGTAGGCTCAGCGAGCGCAGAGTAGCGGGCAGCTTCGGTAGAAGTTGGTCGACATCAGACTTGCCCAGCAACAGGTGGTTGCTTGGGTCAGTGGCGAGGCTGAGGAATACCAGCGACTGGGCTGCGGGATGGAATGCGATAAACTGAAGAACAGCCTCCGCAGACAGTTCTTTGCATTTGGCGAGGTTCAGATGAGTCAGTCTCGCGGATGTAGGGATTGAGAGAAGGGCCTGGTCGGTAATGCGCGTGGCGGCAACATCCAAATGAGTCAGTCCAGGCAGCCGAGGCAGGATCTTCTCAAAGACAGCAGACGGCAAGCTGAGACACTTGTGGAAAGAAAGCTTAGTGACGGTAAGCGTCTCAGGCCACTCCTCTTCCAAGATGCTGGAGAAAGAGTTCTTGAAAGAGACGGAAGAGCAGCCGCAAAAGTCTAACCCTTGAAGCTGAGGAGAGTGGAAGAACAGCTGGCGCAGGACATCGCCGCTAAGATCGTCGTCGACGTACTCTTGAGCCAAGAATTCTCGGAGGTAAGGAGTCAGCTTGAGACACTGAGCGAGGGTCTCTGATGTCAGATTGCGAGCCTGGGCTCTCTCGCTGGCAGTGCTGAAGAACATGGAGGGGTTGAAGTGACTAAAATCCAAGCGGCGGACGATTGTGGCCAGGGATGGATATTCCGTAATAGTGGCGAGAAACTTGCGGAAGATTCGTGAGTGGGGAATGGTGATGTGTCTGTAAAGAGTGGTGAGAGTAGCAGCGTGGAGAGATCGAGAGGTGAGTAAGAGCGACATCAGGTCGGCATTTCGAGTAGTCAATCCATTAGGCGGGAGCTCAATGAATAGGAGATCGACGATTGTGCCTGTAGTAGAGAAAATGACGGTTAGCATGCAGGCTCAGGAATTGATTTTTTTTTTTTCTATTTTTTTTTTTTTAAAAAAAAAAAGCGACAGATATTGCCAACTTTTCAACAACCCAGGACCCTTCCCAATAGATTACTTACTCAATACTTCGCTCGGTAGTCTCTCCAGAGGTGATGCAGTAGTCGGATAAGTTTCGTGAGGCTTCTCGACAATAGCTGGGGTCGGAGTCTCCCATGTCATGTGCAGCCTGTGCAAATCCTCGCAGCTTCGACTGGCGAGCTTTCCCTTGAGAGGAATCTCCCGCCATCCTTTGAATCCATCGGCCGGATACCAGAATCCATGTAGTCTGCTGTTGGGTTGCGTCACAGGTGGCTGGAAGGCGGGTTGAGGAAGCTCTGCCACTGGCGATTCATCGACAATCACCTCCTCTGGCGCCTCGGTGTACGACGAGATCTTGGATCGGGTAAAGGTCTGGGCAAAGCCATCGTCGTTCTCTCGCACCGACGAGAAGGAGGATCGCGAAGCTGTCTCGGAGGGCGGGGAGATTGCGCGAGCCATACTCGAGCCCTTGAAGGGGTTGGAAGCAGCAGAATCGAGCACCGAAGGTCGTCGGCGCTCAAAACCGGGGAGGGTGGCCATCTATAAATACTGCCGCGCCTAGTCGAGGAAAAAAAAAGTATATAAACCAAACGAAAATTTAGTCTGGGTGTGGCGCCGAGACTAGTGGAATTCTGTGTGTAATGACTCTGAATCTAGAGTAAGTGGAGAGGGAAGGGCTTTGGAGGGGCCTTCTCGATGCGAAGACGTAAGACGATGGGGATAATTTGGGGGTTCGTGCGTCTTTTTGGTCCTTGAAGAGATGAGAGATGAGAGATGGCCCTCTTTCTTCTTGTTGGGATGTCCTCAATCGCAGGAAGCCAGCAAAAGCCAGGAGGAGGATGGAAATCGCAGCGAGAGACGGAAGAGCTGAGGCTGAGAGTGTGTGTTGGAGGAGCGCAGCGAGGCAGTGGTTACACCTCCAGCAGAACAGATGATGTGGACGACTTGAGATTTCTCGGTTCACGACAATGCAGAAAATCAGAAACGCAGTGCGGGAAAGCTAGATAAAAGGGTCTTTTACGAGAGCACAAAAAGCAAAAAGGGCCTCTTCCAGTGGCGGCTTTGGTGGTGGTTCTGGGGATTTTTATGTGTAAGTTGAACGTCGTCCGAGTCGGGCAGGGGGGGTGTGGATCTAAGGCGAACTTTCGCAGCGGCAGGTGCCAGCAGCGCGACCGCCCAAGCACGCTCGGAGCCTTTTTGGGTGCAAGCGTGTACCGCTACCTCGAAAGGGGTATGCGCAAGCTGCTGGGCCGTGCGCTGGCGGGCAGAGGAGGTCTCAGTTGGGCAAGGGCGGGGGCGTGCGCGGAGCAGCGCGGCTGATGGCCGTACCGGTACCTGCGGTGCCTGGCTGGAGCCCAGCTTGCGTGTGCCGGACGGCGAGCCAGCGGCTGCTGCACATCGTTGCTGTACAAATACGTTTCTAGGTAACTCCCCCAGGATTTGCTTTGCGGCGTGCCGGAGATGCGCACTTCTTGCGCCACTGCCAGGGCATCTCACAGGGCCTCGCGCAGAGCGTCTGCCGCCGGCCTCTAGGGCTCTCCAATAGGGCCCTCTTAGGGCTCTCCAAGGCGGGAACGTGTTGGCACCCGGCGCCCCCCATTAGCTCACAGCACGCCTGGATTGTGTAATGAAAATCGGTGACTGGTGCCTGTGCCCGTCAGGTGAGCAGCGCTGCTGTGAAGCGCAAGAGCCACTTGGAGAAGGGGGTCCAATTTAGTAAAAGGTTAATAGGTAATGGGAACTAAAGAGCAGCAGTCCAATTGCCCATTATTCATTCGCTTGCTGAGCCTGCCTGCATGTGTGCATCTTCCCCGGCCTTGGACGTCTATCCCAATTGCAGCAATAAGTGCCCGTCACCGCAGAGCACCGAGCAACCCGCCAAAGGGCACTCCGAGCGGCATCATAATACGCCAGCGCCCTTCTATAGGTAGTCGGTGCTAAGACAATTAGCTTCATCAGCACCCTATTCTCACGCCTTCTGCTCGCAGAATCACGCTCATCCAACGTCATTGGCAACATACTCGCGGGCACGTCTAGAAGCCAAAGCCAGTCTCACAGGCCCATGGCCGTATTAATAGCAGCCACCCATGGAAGCGCCTGCGCTCCGGCTCGGGAGGCGTCTGGTGGTGGATGTGAAAAGTTAGTTGGAGTGCCGTAATGGAAATTCCGGGTTTGGCAAGGCTCCGCATCTGCTTCTCCAACGCCTGCTTGCGAGCAATATCTTTTACATAATCACCCGCGACGCCGGCCTTTCTTTTGCCTTCTAGGCCCTGGCGTCTTCTCCAGGGTCGATTGAGCAAAATTCAACGTTACTCACCCCAGCGTGTCCTCGTGATCTGTATCGTGCTGCCAATTGCTGGCTAGCTGTTGGTGATGCTCCAGCCGCCCATCTCGCTTGTCCACGCTGCCGGGAAACGAAGCTCCTGATTGACAGGCCACCCCCTAATTGAGTCCGTTGATGGACTATTCTCTGCCTATACTTGCAGGGCCATGCAATAGCTGCGCCGCCATCAGGTATTGCTACCTCAAACAGGTGCCAATGGAGTGTCCTGGCGTGTTCATCTAATGACCCGTCCATGCGACAAGCCAGCGGCGCGATAGCTTCCTCGTACTTGGGGTCCAGATGCTCAAACATGCTCTTGTCTGAGATTGGTCAATGGCATCGGATCGGGAACGCCGCATCCAGAAAGAGGCGAAGGGGTTGGTTGGGAGAAAAAAAAGTGGCTACATGCTGTTCATTTGAGCTTCTCTATTGCTTTCTGCCGTCATGATGCAAACCAGCCTTTCCTGCCTCGTCAGGTCACGAGTGTTTTCTCTCCTGGCGGTTTAAACCCGGAATTCGGATCTTAGACCTGCTCCCTTTGCCAAGACAGAGTATAGTGCTATGACAGTTTTGATTTGACCGACTTAGGCGTCGCCATGGTTGATATTGGCAGCAACAGCAGCGGAAGCTCTGGGACATCGGATGCATCTTCCTCATCCGCGAGGCCGATGGCTTGGCTGGGACAATGCAAGGATGCTGGGCGTCGCTGGCAGCTCCAATTGTGCTGTGTTGCCCACATCCAATGCGGCTCTCAGTGATGCGATATACGCAGAAGCCGCGATGCCGACAAACGAGCGAATTAAAGCAGACGTATATGTCGTGCCATCCAACGAGACGGTTATTATACTGCCCGTGATACCTACTGTTGCAGTACTAGCACGCGAAAAACCAAAACTACCACCTGCAGCAGCAGCCGCCGTTGTGTGAACCGAAGCCAGCCGGTGCCGATGGATCCAGATCCGGAGGCTGACTGATTTTGGGGTTACTATTCCCACCCCCCTTTGCTCGTCATTGCTCTGCGAGGTCGGACTCTGGCTTCGCGGCCGGGCATAAACGATGACAAAGAGAGCGTCAGAAACATCGAGATGATTTTCACGTATACGAGGTGGCAGAAGCCTCTGCGATTCGATTCCACAAATAAGGTCATCAAGGTTGAAATGAGAAGGATAGAAGGGAAAGCTCTTTAAAATGACATGGCCTTCTACGTCATACCTCTACAGGACAAGGTTACCTAAGGTACTTATCTGATGCAGCCTCCATCTTCTTATCGCAGCGCCCGATTTCCCTTTTCAACCATGCTTCCCTCTCTGCGTTATCTCTCAGTAAAACATGGCCACTCAGCAGCTCCCAAAACCGGGCTAATCCATTTAACCTTGAATTTTGTCTCCGTCCATTCTCCTGGCTGCGCATTTACCAAACCGGTAAAAAGTGACCAAAAATGTAAGGAGGTCCTTGAGACGGTTGGGTTGGAGGAACAGGGGCAGATGATCGCCATGCTTCTTATTTTGACAACCAACTCTGCATTCCATTCAATCACACCGCCCTGAATATCGTTACTACGTATTATCTACTACTGCGACTACATGAATTTTATATTGGCCGTGAATCTATTTGACGTAGTCCACTTCATCATTGATAGCCCGATCACAATGTACTAATAGGTAAGGGCATCCAACAGCATGTTTCGGGCGAAATTGCAGCCCAGCATCTGCCCAACGCATAAAGACATCTAATGCTCCTCGTCCAACATCATGTCTCTTACAAATCCGCTCCCCTCTTTCTCTCTCTCCCTACGTCATCACGAGCATGCGACATGTTCGGGCATCCGATTGATGCTGCAGACCATCACTTGGCATCGCACGATGTTACCAGGGATCGGTGCATCGCCTCAAGAGCGCTTGTAAGAGGGCTACACATGCACGTTCCACAACTGCATATATCGCATCGTCTTGGCGCCAAATCGGCAAGACATATCCGAGAAGATGGATCTAGAACAGGAAAAAAGAGAGAGAGAGAGGATCCCACGGTTACACGAAATAAAGAAAGAGTGGAAGGGAAGGCAGGAGAGTAGACCAAAATGTGTGTTTAACCCAAGGACTTTTTGTGTTTTCCATTACTACCATATACTTTGTATCTGTGTATCCTTTAAAAACGCCGTAACGATTAACGCAACGCAACGCTGACGAGCCCGATAATGGAACCCATGAGTCGTAACCAATCACCAGACATCAACTCTGTATCTCAAGGCCACTCCGACCGCGGCGGCCAATCTCGTCGTAACAAAAGTGATGAGCAGCGGAACCACATTTCCGCTTAGTCCTCCATGTCGACATCCTCCTCGTCCTCGTCCTCGTCCTCGTCCGCTCCACCCTCTCCCCGGAAGGATTCCACAATCTCCTCCACGCCTCCATCCACCCGGACCTTGAGTTTCCTCGTCTCCCCTCCAAAGGCCTTGATCTTGTTCTTCCGCGTCGCCAGCAGCTCCTCCTCGAGGGCCACGTCCTCGCCCTGGGCGGCCAGCTCCGCCAGCCTCTTCTTCTCGCTTCCGCGCAGGCGGGGCAGCAGGTGCTCGTTCTCGGCGACCAGCTTGCGCGCCACGGCCAGCTCCTTCTCGCGCTTGCCGGCCATGCGCTTCTTGTAGAAGACGCGCTCGCGGCGGGCGCGGATCTCGCTGATGCGCTTCATGGCCGCCATGGTCTTGTTCACCAGGTCGCGGTCGTAGCGGACGGGCTCGTTGCGGCGCATGGCGAACTGCAGCGTGCTGTCGACCGTCATCTCCTTGCCGGCGTTTCGGCGGTAGGCCTTTGTCCACTTGAGCTTGCGGGGGTTACGCTTCATCTTGTAGTTGCGGTTGCATTTTGATCTGCAGAACCTGAACGACTTGCCTATGCGAGAGAAGATGTTGATTAGACTTTTATCGATTTTTCCATTTCTATCCCATCAAGTCTAAAAAGACTAAACACAGGACAAAATCCATTGCAGGGAAACTCACCATCGTTTCTGACAAAGGTAATTCCCTTGGAGGGATAGGCCGGACGGCCACAAAAGCTGCAGTCCTCAATCCTGTGACCAAGTTAGCAATGCCCAAAGATGCATGTGCATCATAAGTCCCAGTATTTCTTACCGCATCGTGAATGTTTGATGTGGACTGTGATGATGCTAAATGGGTATCAATCTCAAATCAAACAAAACTTATCTCGCCTCATGCAGCAAACTCTGCCACAACTTTTTTTTTTGACGCTTAGTCACTTATCGATAGCATTTTCTCAGCCACGGCCGCAAATCGCACAGCCACCGCTCTTATCCCCTTGAGTACCCGCCCCTCCAACCCCCACTACAACCAGATTTCCCCCCGTACCAACTTTTCCATTCACATCGTATTTCTTTCTTTTGCTGCCTGGCTGCTAAACCGGCCGGCTATTCCATGCCACTAGCTCAGATCCGTCAGGGCGGCTCCTGGATTTGGATCCTCCCCTGGAAAAAAGGAATCGGCTGGCACACTCCCTTTTTTTCCAGGTTGTGTTTTTCTACTTCTGGACTAAGCTAGAAAAAGGACTAGAAAGTTCTTCCCCAGATTTCGTTATGTAAATGAGCGGAGCAGCGAAGCATCACGCGGAGCACTAGACATGGCTTGGGGTGGTGTTTTGAGCCTGGATGATTCTGCAATTAGGAGAGGACACTTTTTAACTTTCATGGAATCAGATGCTCAACTTCATTACCGCAGCAGAAGCAGTCAGCTTACTTGCTGCTTGAGTAACACTCACGCGACATCCTTCGTAACATGATGCATGTACAAAGTGAGGAGACCAGGGAAGTTCAGATACAGTTTTCACTTCTTTATAAACCATGTACGTGCGTACTCACCCTTTGGGCTGTCTGTCTTGTCTCAACCACCCCCAACCGGCCTGACCCGGAATATTCATTACCTTAACGTAATTAAAGCTCCCCCCATCATCCCCCTCAAAAGACGGGGAAGGTCCAGAAAATAGCAACGTGTACTGATACAGAACCTGGGGGAGGGGGGGCGTGTGCGAGAAAAGAAAGACCACCAGCCTGATTGATGACAATCCCAATGGTGGAGATGGGCCCTGATGGGCGAACCAACACTTTTCTTTGGGGAAGGGGTTGCAGCCACAGACCCCCTGGTTTGGCATCCAATACTACCTACTGACTAACCTATTGTTTGCTAATTTACTTACACCTGCTTAGCGAGAAGCTGAGCAGCTGGCTGACTGTAAACTACAGTATGTGGTTTTGCAAGATGCGTCTTCCGCGGTGGCGAGTAAATGAGAGACCAGCAGCTTTGGCCACCTCGGAAGACGCAGGACAAGGAGAGGACAGCGAGGGAAAACAAAATGCAACCGGATCATTCTCTCCTGAAATGGCGTCCGTGCCGTATTAGCCGTGAATGCGTTGTGCTTTGACGTTGTGCTACCTGGCTGGACACGGAGCAAAAGACTTGCATATATTGGCATCCCATCTCTGTCTCTATTTCCATGCACTTACACGCTGGGGGCTTCTACTGCAGCTTTTCTCGTGAGGTAAGCTGCAATGAGACGCAAAACGCCTGCTGCCATCCTAGAAAAATACTTCTATGGGTCGGTTGTGACAATTTCCTGCGCTTCTTGCGTCACCAAGCATCCAACATAGGTACCCGGGAACCACATACAGCACATACAACACACAACACACGTATCCATACGCACGCATACTCTTCTCCACGTTGCTTCATCAATAAATACGTCTATTGGCGGGCTCTTCTCCCACCCTACTACCTGCTGAAAGAGGCATATAGTATAGTACCAGTTGTATAATATGTAGGCATGCAGAGTTTCCGTTGAACTATCCAGCCGAAGCGCTACTTACATGCATCCGTGTTACCTAATGAAAATATCATCATCTGCTCTCCAGATTCATCATACAAGCGAGGCAAAGGCCAGAAGCGGTCAGTATCGGCGGCAAACACGCATTGCGTGCCATCTCCAGTCCTGTCAGCCATTTGCTGCTGCTCTGTTGATCCGCGTCGACATCGTTGTCACATATCCTTTTCCAGGTTCTGCTTGAGCCTGCCTCCCACTTTTGTAGTGCGACGCCAATAACGACATATTTGTCCATGCTTCCAGCAGACTTTTCTGCCCAAAAATATGCATTGTCCCCTTTCAGGTTTCTTGCGTAAAATAGCGTGCATCCTATGCGCACACGATTAAAGAGAAAAGAAGGGAAAAGTACTGCGTAGACCCGAAGCTAAAAATTCGGGTGTGAATATTATCCGTAACAAGCCCTGTGGTGGTAATGTGGCCGAATCCTTTGTGAACAAAACGCCGTGTACTAGTTGAGCCGAGGATGGCTGCACATGCTATTTTTAAAAAGAACAGAGGCGATAAAAGAGGAAGAAGTAATAAAAAGAAAAGAAGAAATAAAAATAGACGCCGAGCAACAAGCTGACAACGAGGCTTGAACAATATGAAGCTCTCAAAAGATAATGGTGCCGTTTGTTCTTTCTCAAACACAGCTAACCAACCGCGGAAGCATCGATAATATATTTCCTTTCATCATCGGCTGCCGTTCTTTTTGCTGCCGACCTTGAGGCGCTCTTTGCAGTCTGGGCAGTACCATTTGGCTACCGAGCACGTTAGTATTGTTTCTAGATACGACGAGATGAATTAAGAGGAGACAAGACAATTCGTTTCTTCCCTTCTCTTCTCTCGCCAAAGATAGAGAGCTTTTGTAGACTTACTTTTTGAACTTGGTGCGACCTTGAGACCTACGCAAGCCAGATGGAACCACTCGCGGGCACAGTCATCAGAATCACACGCCACCATTGCGCCATAGCTGATGCTATTGCAATAACAGTATGTAGCTTCATCTGGGTCGATATCAGCATCATCATCGCCGTCGTCGCCCTGCATACTGCTATTTCCGTCCTCGTCCATAAGTTGAGCAAGAGCTTGAGTACTGCCCTTCTTCTGAGACTTTTTGCCGTTGCCCGCTGGCTCTACGTTTCGAGTGGCTCGCGGTCTGGCAGCAGCAGCTGCAGCGTCTGAGAAACTTGGCAGAGCCGGTGTGGACGGCTTGCTTGCTCTTCCGCTCTTGGTTGTAACCATGCCGGTGCTCTGTGGAGTCGACTGCGTAGGCTCGCTTTTGCGATCTGCCTCTTCCACCCTGCTATTCCTTCGGCTGGAAGAGGAGGTAATGACAACGGCTGTAGTAGGAGCTGGCGCAGGTTTGTCTTCCATTTGTTCTGGCTCCTTCGGTGACGGCTCCGTCTTGACCGTCACAATAGGTTCCTTATTGCCTTCGGAGTCATGGTTGGGGCGAGCCCAATTGGTGGTTTGAACAATCTCCGGCGTGCTAGGCATGTTGCCATTCGTCTTTTTAGCTGCCGAAGAGGGAGGTCTAGCCTTGCTGGCTTCTGAGTTGGACGCAATCGAATTCTGTCGTGCACGAGACGTCGTTGGTCGTGGGACGGGTGCAGGCGCAGGCGTCGGGACTGGGGATGGGCGGCTAGCCGGTGTCTTCGTCTCTGGCAAAGTTCCCATAACTGGAGACGATGCAGCGGAGGGTGACATGGTGGCGGATAGAACATTCCTGTAAGCAAATGGTAGTCAGCATCGTAGTCTAAGCCAGAGCGATTGAATAGATACGGAGGGATGAGGGCAGGTAATTGCCATACTTCTTCTTGGATTGACCACTGCTAGTGGGCAAAGCTTTGCGCTTCTTGGGTACCTCCGGAGCTGGAGTCTCTCGAGGGCTAGTCGTGGTCCTCGTCTTGGATGTATTGTTACCAAAAACAAGGCTCATGGCACGCTCCATCTGAGGTGCTTCTGCCCCGCTAGCAGCAGTCTTTTCTTTCTCCTTGTCCTTGTCCTTTTCTCTATCCTTGTCTTTATCTTTCTCTCGTTCTTTTTCCTTCTCCTTCTCCTTATCTTTGTCCTTGTCTACTTTTCGCCTCTTTTGCGGAGGATTGCTATTGGAAGAAGCTCCAGTAGAAATGCCTAATCCAACATTGTTACTCTCAGCAGTTTTCCGAACCTTACTCGAGCTTGTCTTCTTAGCACTGCTGATTTTTGTTTGGCTATCGTGATCGTCGGCTTCGGAATCGAGGGCATGAGTCTTCTGGCTCTTCTTGGCTTGGACCGCTTGCTTCCTGGCGTCGCTGCGGGCGGCGGCCTGTTCCGCCAAGGCTTGTGCGGCCGCTGAAATCGCAGCAGCGCCATCGCGTCTAGATCTTTCAGCTTGCGAAGGCTTCCCATTGCGGTTCTCGGGGTAGGCCCAGTGTGTGGTGCTTCCCCATTTCGCCTCGTCGCTGAATTCGTTCTCCAAATACGGCCATACATCTTCCACTCGAGCTAGCTGTCTCTGGAGCGCCTCATTCGCTGTGGATATGACATGATTCTTCTCTTCCAAAGACACTAGTAACTCTTGTATTTTGAACGCGGTCTGGCGGAATAGCTGCCGGCGCTGTAGGTTGGAGGGGTCGAACACGCCACCATTGACATCTTCGGTCGAAGCAACGGGCTGCTGGTGCTGGCCGAATGCAATTCCGTTGGAGCCTCCCTGGGCGCTCATGGGGGCGAACCCCGGCGCCGCCGTGTTGAGGGTGTCATTGCTCGTTCGCGCTTCCGGGACGGGGAATGTCCTCGCCGAGGCGACAAGCCTGAAGAGCTGTTCTTGAGGAGCGAAAATTTTGGCGTCGACCTCTTTGAGCAGAGTAAAGTGTCGCACGAGTTCTTTGGGGAGGGCGGTAATGGTGTCGGCAAAGTGGGTGATGGCAGGGAAGACGTCAATGGGCTGGTCCCCGGCAGGGCCACTCAGCGAATCTCTGCCGCCCGGGCGGACAGTCGTCGCCGAGCTTCGAGGAGGATTCGTGCGCGTCTGCCGTACAGGTTGGGACCTCCGGTGCGACGAGGCTTCCACGGCGGGAGCCTTTGCGGACTTCATTGCGGACATGGCGAGGGCAGCCAGCAAGGAGAAACTGGTGAGAGATTGACGTGGGTGTTTTCGTAGAGGGGCGACGAGCTGGCGAACTTTTTTTGCGAGGGGGGAAATCTGGCTAGGCAGGACAAAACAATGAAACAACGCCTCTGATTGAGGACAGGCTAGGCCATCCTGCTCCGAATCTGCGGTCAAAGAGCCAAATCATGCGTGGGCGGCGCGGTGACGGCGGGCGGTGGTGGAGGCTCGCTGATAGATAAAGCAGAGTAGTATCTCGACTTGCCTTTGGGGAGCGAGCGAGCACAGCACTGATCTGCCGCGAGGAACGGCGGTACAAGGCGCCGGGCTGCCGTTCCCGGTTGGCTCAGGCGGGCTAGCGGCGCATGACACAGCACGCATTGCGCTGAAAAGCGCTGTCATTGGGCCAGCCGGATTAAAAGGGTCTCCGAGCAGAGCCCCCCAGGCCCCCACAGCAAGCTCGTTATGGCGTCAGCTGAGCTGCAAAGCATCGCCCGACAGCGGCGTTTGGAAGCAATTGCACCCAATTTTTGGGTGCGCTTAAAATTCTATTGAATTGCGAAAGGGAGAGGCTCTATAAAGATTCTAACGGAATATCAAAGTCGAACTCAAACAAAGAAAAGAGGGCAAAAGAGGGTAAACAAGGAGAGATGTAAATAACACAACAAATAAATGCATGGCCAGAATCGAATAACCCAGGAGCACCAGCTACTAATAATATGCGATATGATGTAATATGCCATGCCTCTCTATAGAAAGAAAACGGGGGTATCGTCGCCGTAATTTACTCCATCATGCTTCGCGCCTTGACCGTCCCTGCCCTGCCAGAGGGCTTCTCTCTGTCAGACTGCTTCTGCCTCCATTGCCACTCCAGCAGAACCCATATGAAGTCCTTGAGGTCAAAGTCCGGCCACAGGCATTTGCGGAAGAAGATGTGTGTGTCCTGGTGGCACTGCCAGAGCATAAAGTCGCTGAGCCGCTCAACGCCACTTGTCCTGACAAAGAGGTCCAAAGGAGGATCATCGGCGGTATATATATGTCTTTCGATGGTGTCGACTGTGATGTTGTCGGGGTTGGGCAGTGTCGTAGAGCCGTAGGATCCTGATCTGGAGAGCAAGCGAGGCTCAGGGGAGCCCGGGGGAAGAGTAGCGGATTCAGAAGAGTCGTTGTCGTCTCCGTCATCTATGTCTTTGCCCTCATACTCGCCATCGTCGAGAGCTTCATCTGGAATGGTCGGCAGCAGGTCGCGGCCGTCGAGTTGGCCGGAAAGTATCTTTTGCCTTATACGCGACGGAGAAAATGGTGTGTTCTTAGGAGGCGTGGGAGATAGGAATTCCTGTACGGTTGATCGGATTGCGGTCGTCATCTCTGCTCTCGATGTGTATGGGAAGCAGATATTCAGGACAGCCCTGAGCCAGCGGTTAGCCTTTTCTGGCCCCAACAACTCAAAGGTATCGTCTTCAGCAGGCATAAAACTCACTTATTGTTATGCTTAGTCCTTGCTACGGCTCTGTCCATGACCTCCAATACGTCATCGCGTATCATCTCACGCTGGCCGAGGATTCGAACACAGGCCCCGTAGCGGTCAAGGATGTCGCCATATGTAGTCAGTTGCTCCAGCTTGACCTTTGCAAGCTGCATGAGGCCTTCCACTTCGTATTTTGGCCGGTTGAAGTTTTCGATACTGAACGCGTAAACGGTAACAACTTTGACACCACACTTGTAGCAGATTTCCATGATCTAGACGCAGTCTTGTTAGAAGAAGCTAGGTAGAGAGACACAAAGGTTGGGCCACAGGGCGACAAACTCTAGCGAGGGCCTCGAAGCCACGGTGGTGTCCCTCGACAGTCTCCATGCGACGACTTCTTGCGTAACGTCTGTTACCGTCCATCTCGAAGGCAACATGTTGAGGAATCGGTCCCTGCTTGAGGGCGCCAATGAGCAGCTCGCGGAGCTGGTTGATGGCCCATTCTCCCGGCGGCGACTCAAGTATTAGCCTCCGCAAAAGCGAAACAGTGTCGGCCATGTTGAAGTTGTAACGAAAAGAAGAGGACGAAAAGGAAAGGGCGTGTTGAAACGACAGACGGTCCGATACGGTGCACAAGAGGTAGAGGGGGCCGGCAATTTGCAAATAGGCGTGGGTTTTTTTTTCTTTATTAAATTAGAAGGAATAAAATGAGCGAGGACAGAAGAGGAAAAGGCTACCGCTGCTGCAGAAGAGGAGGAAAGAATACGAGGCTAGAGAAGAGCACAGTAGAACATGATTGCTGCAAATCTGAACAGGTCACTGGCTAGAGGGATGAATGAAAATTAAGGCGTACTATTTCGCCAGAGGGCCGCGAAACTGCTGTGGCGAAGCTGCGTTGGAAGCTCAACTGGCCACATCTGCTGTCCAGCGCGCAGCTCTAGCGCAGCCTGGCCCTTGGCGGTTCGGAGATCTGGGGACAGGGGCAAATCGAAGAGGAATCCGAGGCGAGACAGCGCCCCCCTTGCACATGAAAACGAAGTGAACAGATTGATGATAAGCACGTGTTTGGTGATTCGTTCTGATGTGCACATTAGTTATTTGACTTTTTCCCTCGTCTTTTTCGAATGTCTTGTCAAGTATGCGCGGTTGAAGCATTGCGTCTGTATTCTGGGTGTTACAGCCTGGAACGCCAAATCCATATCATCGATGTTCCGATGGGCCTAGACCTTGATAGGGCCGCGATGCTTTTATATACCGGCACGTTTTCTCAGCAGAACCCCTGGACCCAGCCTCGGTGGCTGACGGCGGTGCCTGGCCTCGCTGCCGGTTGTGGTAATTTCACATTGTGCCTCATATATTTCCGCCACGTTTTCTGGCCGGTTTGAAGAAAACAATCGAGCGATCAGGGCACAGTGGCGCGTTCTAGTGCTTTCAGTTCAAATTTGATTCACATGTGCCCAGCCAGCTTATCGTCTAGCCTGGTGCTAGCGCCTGTGCCCACGGCTGCATGCTCTCCTTAACCAACGAACTTGCGAACCGCTATCCGCTATAATTCTCTGCTTGTCGGCTTGTTTGCTGACTCGATTCAACGTCTTTCCGTAGTCCTGACGTCACTGTCATACTTACAGATCGCTTACCTCGAAAAAAAGTTTATTAACGCGCAGAAACCCTGCTTGTCCTCACGGCGTTCAATCTCCCCGTAATCCACCAAACGACAGCTAGTAAGAAGAAAGAAGAGCCTTTTGCGGAACAGACAGTTGGGCAAAAATGCACATGCAGAGCTGCTGCGAGAAATTGAACCTTGCCATGTCAGAAGCTCCGCCATAGCCCGCGTCTGGAGGAAAGCAGCGTACGTCATATTTACAGGTCCGTGACAGCTAGACTTGTATCGCTGCAGGTATCTGAATCTGGCAGCCTGTTGGGCGCCAAACTCGTGTTACCAGGCTACTTGACGCGATCGTGAATTCTGGCAGAGGCTTTTTTGAAATAATATAAAAGCTCATCCGGTGCTGTACCCGCGACTACACGATCGAGATGCACGGCGCGTGTAAAGCACTCGTGCCTACGGTACAGAGGGCTTATCTCCATTTATAGCGGCGTTGAACCGTCGTGGCTCCAATCAGGCACCAATAGCTGCAGCGTGCAAACCACCAACGAGAGGCCCAAGAGGTGGCGCAACCACTATAAGCGTTCTGCGTTGCATTCTGCCCCTCCATCTGCCCCACGTACGACAATCAAGCTCTGCTAGCAGGATTAAGTAGCTCAGTGCCGATAGGCCAAGGCTGCGTCTGCATCGGATTGCCATTGAGGGCAATCCTTATACAAAACTCCGATATCCAGCTCCCCCTTTCTTCTTCCTTTCTTCCTCCATCTCTGTCTCCATTCTTCTCTGTCGTCTCTGTCGTCTCTACCCCTCCTTGCCCTCTATCCTCTGTCTACCAAGGGCCGGATCACAGCGGCCTCCAGTTGACGTCCCTCACACGGCCCGCCTGTCCACCCCACTTGCACAATGGTTGTCCACGACGGCCACGAGTATCTCACCGAGGAGGAGAAGCGGTTGAAAGAGGACAGAGAGCGAACCAAGTACTGGAAGAAATGGGGCCCGTATGTTGCCGAAAGGCAGTGGGCGACAGGTAGTTTCCGCAACATAACTGTAGCAACACGAATGGGATGCTGACATCATAACAGTTCGAGAGGATTACAGTGCCGACGGTGATGCCTGGAGCCGTATGTGCAGCCTTCTACCTTTACCGTTTGAAAACCTGTACTAACCCATCTAAAAGATTTCCCTCACGATCACGCCCGGTCTCGAACTTTCAGATGGGGCGAGGACGGTATTGCCGGTGTCTCGGATACACATGGATTTCAGAACATTGGCTTTGCCTTTTGGAACGAAGAAGAGTGTGCAATACCGATTCTCAAATCTTCGAAACGAACGTTGTCCTGATTGATAAACTAGTCCCTTTTTGAAGGAGCGTCTTTTTGGACTGTCCAACCCGCAAGGAAATCACGGCGAAAGTATCAAAGAAGCCCATTTCCATGTTGATAACACTCCTGTAAGTCAAAATCCCTCCTTCTCTTATCCAACGATTTATACTAACACTCGCCTGGCTAGACTGTATGTCCTACTTCGCTTGTCGATCGTCCGTTTTCTCTTGATACTAATATAGCATCAGCACTCCTATATGAAGTTCCTTTACAAGTATCCTCAGAAGCTGTTCCCTTATGACGATCTGATCAAGGAGAACGCTCGGAGAACAAGACAAGACAAAGAGTACCAGCTTCTTGACACTGGAATTTTCGATGACAATAGGTACTGGGACATCTTCATCGAAACAGCGAAAGAGACGGATGATCCAGATGAACTCCTCTTCCGTGTAACTGCTTGGAACAGAGGACCTGATCCAGCCCCGCTCCACATCATACCCCATGTATGGTTCCGGAACACTTGGAGCTGGGGTAGAGAGCCAGAAGACAAGAAGCCCAACATCGCGGCCTACACCGAAGACTCCGCCAAGTCCAAGCACTGGAAGCTGGGAGAGAGATATTTCCTTCTTTCCCCTTCTCCTGGCGTTGGCTCGTCGGGAACAGACGTCATGCCTCAGCTCATGTTTACCGAGAATGACACAAACTACGAGCGTCTTTATGAACAGGAGAATCCACAGCCCTATGTGAAAGATGCCTTCCACAGATACATTGTTGACGGAGAGAAAGGGGCCATTAACCCTAACCAAACCGGCACAAAGTGCGCTGCCTGGTATAACTTCAACGAAGACGGCGGTGTTAACCCTGGTGAATGCGCTGGTAAGTGGCTGCCCATTTCCAAAATAGAGCATAGTGTATGGTCAGAATCTGACAAATGATGATAGTTGTTCGTTTCCGATTCACCAAGCGAGATGAGTCGTATCTCGACGAAGAGGAATTTGACGACCTCATTGAAAAGCGGAGAGAGGAAGCAGATGAATTCTACTACCGACTTAGCCCTCTTCCTATGACTGAGGATCTGCGTAACATCCAGAGACAAGCCTTTTCGGGCATGATGTGGACAAAGCAACACTACCACTTCATTTGGGATCAGTGGGCGAAGGGAGATCCCGGAACCCTTCCTCCACCCGCCGACCGAATGGGCATACGCAATCAACAGTGGAGGCATATGCATTGCGACGATATCTTGTCAATGCCAGACTCTTGGGAATACCCATTCTTTGCCGCTTGGGATAGTGCCTTCCACTGCATTCCCCTGGCAATGATTGACCCTGACTTTGCAAAGAAGCAGCTTGATCTGTTCACCAGAGAATGGTACTGCCACCCCAATGGTCAAATACCTGCGTAAGTAACTCCACTTGAGTTCGTTTTTTACCCTATGCGTAGCGCTAACTTAAGCTTAAAGATATGAATGGAACTTTGGCGATGTCAACCCCCCAGTCCACGCCTGGGCCACTTTCAGAACGTTCAAGATTGAGAGAAAGCTGTACGGCCGCCAGGATATCGATTTCCTTGAGCGAGTCTTTCAAAAGCTTCTACTCAACTTTACGTGGTGGGTAAACCGAAAAGATGCAGACGGCAAAAACGTCTTTGAAGGTGGGTTCTTGGGACTCGATAACATCGGTCTGTTCAACCGCTCCGAGCCACTGCCCACGGGTGGTGTTCTTGAACAGGCTGACAGCACCGGCTGGATGGCATTCTACTGCCTTTCCATGCTGAACATTGCCCTTGAGCTTGCAAAGCATCGTCGCATCTATGAGGATATTGCCTCCAAGTTCTTCGAGCACTTCATCTTCATCAGCGATGCCATGACCTTCCGGACAGGCCAAAAGGATGAACAGTCGCTTTGGAATGAAGAGGACGGATTCTACTATGATGCCATCTCCTGGGGTGGCCCGTGGCTTCAGCAGCTGCCTGTACGATCATTAGTCGGCCTCATTCCTCTGTATGCAACCGCAACTCTTGAACCTGAGCTTATCAATAAGCTGCCCTCATTCAAGAAGAGAGTTGATTGGTTCATACAAAATCGCTGCGATTTGGCGGAGAGGAACATGGCCAGCATCCAGAAAAGAGGAAAGGGTAATCGTATTCTCCTGTCAATCGTCAGCAAAGAGAGGCTAGAGAAGATTCTGGTGCGAATGCTGGATGAGGATGAGTTTTTCAGTGACCACGGTATTCGTTCATTATCCAAATTCCACAAAGAGAATCCCTACTCCATGGAAGTCAAGGGTCAAGAGTTCAAAGTTGGCTACGTTCCCGGAGACTCTGACACTGGACTGTTTGGCGGCAATAGTAACTGGAGAGGACCGATCTGGCTCTGCGTCAACTTTTTGCTGATTGAGTCGCTGCAGCGATTCTATCTCTTCTACGGGCCCGATTTCAAGGTTGAATGCCCTACTGGCAGTGGTGTTGAAATGCACCTGGGTAAAGTCTCGGAAGAACTCCAGCATCGACTGCAGCATCTCTTTGCCCGCGATGACTACGGAAGGCGCAGCATCAATGCTGGAGATGATCGCCTCGACTACGACGAGCACTGGAAAGACTACCTTTGGTTCCACGAGTTCTTTGACGGCGACACCGGCAGAGGTCTCGGTGCTACTCACCAAACTGGATGGACCGGTCTCATTGCTCGGTTGATTCATGACACAGGGTAAGTCTTGAAGAACTTGAAATTCAAGCTTTATTCGCCATTTGATCAAGTGTAAACTGACTGAATTCTTCTCCAAAACAGCGTCAGCTGCCGTCTGCCTCAAACTCCTCGAACACCATCAGTCGCCATGGCACACTACTTTGACGATATTTTCCAGAGGCATATAGACACCGGCGTCCCTCACCCAGGAGGCAGACGCCACCTCAGACGATCATCAACAGCCCGCTCCATCACTGCCCGAAGCGATTTTGAATCGTCTGTGAATGGTGACGACGACGCTCGATCCGTGACCAACTCGGTTTATCACGATGATCCTGAAAGGGTCAAAGAGAAGCAGGAAGCTGATTCTCACATGCACCGGTACATCTCCGACCAGCTTCGCAGATACACCGGCGTTAACGAGGATGACTCTGGAGGCGATGAATATGAAACTAGGGCATAGAGAGGAGGTTATTTCTCTTTTGTCTTGTGACTGAGCTAAACTTGGAAACTTGGAGATGTCTGGGTTTAAAAAGGTAAAAGGCGGGACTTTATCTATGTTACAATTGGAAACTACAGAACAAGGTAAGAGGTCTACAATATAACAATTTGACGGGTGGAATTGGATAGTGTTTTGAGCATAGTTTTTCCTAGTAAAAACGATTGAATTTATATGTCAAAGAGTGAACAATAAATAGTTCAGCAAATGAGGGTTAAACTTCTCCCCATCGCCGTGTTAGCACGTCTCATCATTCATCATGATTGGTAGAGTAGGAGGTCGCTTCACACATGCACCCAGGCCATATTCTAGGTAGATGTATAGAAAAGCTCATTTTCTCTAGATAAAACTGCTCTCTATTTGCAATATGCTGTACCACCAAACAACAGCACCCCTTCTCTTTACATATCTGCATCCGCCCTTTCCTGTATATAGGTGGACGCACGCAAAACTAAAAAATCCCCCGCGTCTCTCCTTCAAGAAGTCCCAAGCCCAAATTCTATACATGGTGGTAGAGAGCTTCGTTTTGTATGTATTGAGCCCTCTTTTCCCTTTTCATGGACGTTTCAACAAAAAAGAGGCTCCTTGTTTTGATTGATAATATTTCTTAATACATGATAAATTACAGGTTGTCAGTAAGGAGCTTGTTCATCTTGCTGATGCGGGCGGAGACGCTGAGATCAATGGTTCGGTCGCCGACCTCTACGACGAGTCCACCAATGATATCGGGGTTGACCTAGAGCATTGATGTGAGTTTGATATTCGAGATAGCTGGTGACATCCTCCCAGTGGCGAATGGGGAGAAGAAAAGTAAGGAGCTTAAACATACAGCGTTGGTGACCTTGAGCTTCTTGCCCTGGCCAACGTAGGAAGACTTGGCGACGGCATTCTCCAGACGGGACAGGAGCTTGGAGTCAAGAGCCTATGATGTAAATTCGAGTTAGCAAAATCTGCGCCTCTCCAAGTGTATGTGTGTAATTTCGCAATTCAAGTGACATCGTTGTGATTTGTCGAATCATTCAAACAGGAAAATCCAAAGAACTGGAAAACGCACCTGAGCGCTGGTGACGGTCATCTCAACCTCACCACGGGCAGCAGAGACAATCTGGCCAAACTTCTCAATCACGCCGTTCAGGAGACCCAGTCGGTTGTTCTCGGCGAGGGTGTCGAGGAAGTTCTTGAGGGTGGGACCGCTAGCACCGGCCTGCTTGATGAGCTCGGCCACGATGGCAGATCGGTCGGCGGGGGTTAGAGTCGGGGCGGAGAGGATGGTAACCAGCTTGGAGTCCTTCTCGAAGATGGAGCCCAGCTTGGCAAGCTCCTTGGCGGTGGCATCGAGGGTGGAAGTCTTGGAGGCCGCGGTGTACTAGAAATTGACGCAAGGATTAGCGATTTTCGCGGTGGTGATTTTTGGTAGCGACAATTCTCTCGACGTCTGCAGCATTGGCACGTCGCACAATTGGCAACTCTGCCACTACAGGTACAAAAAAAGGAATGTTCCATGATTCTTCGCAGGAGGCGTTTCGTACCAGAGCAGTGGCGTAGGTGCCATCGAGGCCAAAGACAGCAATGGGGGCCTTGACGTCGGCGCTGGCAGCGGCAGCAAAGGTCCGGGCCGGGACAGCGGCAAAGGCACGCTGAGGAGCAGCGGCTCTGAGGGAGCGGAAGACTTGTCGCGACAGCATGGCGATTGTGGATGGCGTCGTCGGGAGGTGGTGAGAGACCGGCTTTCGCAGAGATCGGTTTTCGCTGGTGGTGAGGTTCTCGTCGGCCGGCAATTTTGGAAGTTGATGCCTTGCCGCACGGGTGAGGCACCAAAATTTTAGGCTTACCTAATATTGCCTCATACAGAGGCGCCCACCACTGAGCTGGCACCATCTTGGCGATCTATAGATTCCTAGAACGAATCATGAATGTTGATTGTTTCACTTCAAATAAAAGTGTTTCTGGATCTAATGTGTCCATACTCGCGGCATAAGTTCTTCTTACTATCATCTTCTTGTGATGAATGCATTTGCTGAATGATTTATAAAACATGGCCTCCAAACAGCACACAGTCTTGCATGCTCATAGTACTACCTAGTCCCTTATCCATAACCTTACCCGATTCTGCCCGATAGACCCAGATGCCAATTTTCAATTCTACATTATCCTAACGCCTGCCTTGCTCCCTATTAAGCATTGTTGCAATGTCGCTTGCGGTTCAGAGTGATTAATTAAACAGAAACACGAAAAAAAAAGCCAAGAATGATGCTGAATCAGTCGCTCTTCAGCATGCTGTCGACAAGGTCTCCAAGAGGACCCCAGTAATCACGCCCGCTTGCCAAGCCGTGTTCGTCAATGAAGAGCACGTACTGCTTGAAGCTGGTGTTTAGATGAGGCTCCAGCCCCAGCTCACGGACAACAGGATAGTGGTGGCAGTAGATGTGAGCGTACACACGGTACATTCGCTTGAAGATCTGGCGAATGAGCGTTCCAAACGATTTGGGGAACGGGACGCCTATGAACAGTGTAAACAGCCAAAACTCGAGACAAAGGGAATATGAAGATATCAAGAGGGAGGTGCTCACCAATCTTGCTAGGCATGACAGACTCGTTGTCGATGTTGGCCTGAACCCACGCCATCAGTTGCTCTATATAGGCCGGTGCAGCCATCTTGGTAGGCCGCTTGTAGTTTTCGCTGTCTTGCCAAAGATATTCAAACCTATGGATGTTAATTCGCTTCCAGGGTCTGCAGTAGCCGGACGGGATATTTCTTACTCGTCGGTCGCCTTCATTTCAGGACACGACTGCGGCGAGCAGAACTCGGTGATGGCACCATAGAGGAGATTGATCTGGTTGTAGAAGTCCACCACTGGTTATCGTTAGGTCTTTGATCTCCAGCTGGCCAATAGGCAGTGACCAAACTTACTATTGACTGCTAGCCACTCATTCTCATCTTCGCCCTCGGGGAGCTTGACCACCTTCCTCAAGCTACCTCCTCCCAAAGTAACTTCGGCATATTGCCGTAGCTGGTAGCTATTGACACCTCCTTTACCGGCGCGAGGGCGGAACTGATTTCTCGTTTTCTGGTTTCTGCTTAGGAATATCTCGCCGTCAGCGATCACAGTATTTAACACGGGCTCAAGAGGAGGATCTTCGTAGACGGGGAGGATGGGGTTATCCAGGCGCTCCATTTTGGCGCGAGACCTGGGGCTGAGAAATTGCAGCAGCAGGGACATGTTGAAGTTGGCGGAGGATGAGAGCACGCGCATAAAGGTAGGGTCTGGACTGACACTGTCTGCAAGAACTGAGCCATAGCGAGGCGAGGCGAGGGTTTTTGGTCAAGATGTCGAATAAGCTAAAAAGGAATACGATGCTCTGCGTGCATACCAACTGGTTAGCGGGGCAATGGATGGTATGTCATGGAATGGACGAGGAGAGCAGGACAACGCATACAGAGATGCGCAGACCGACAGCGAAGACAAGCAGCGGGCTGGACGGCGAGGCTGGAGGAAATAGAAGATGTTGTTCGGCCGGGTGGATTCAGCACCAGACAGCAAGTCGAGGATGTTGGCGATGCGCTGAGGCTGATGGGCGGTTAGATATGCAGCGATGGATGATAGTATGCAGATAGAGATATGGGAGATAGGGTGTGCGTAGATAGCGGGAGGTGATGGTGTCGCATTCAGGGCGGCTCTGTTTACAGCGGTTCCTATTGGCATGGTTGCTGGGCTAATTGCGTCAGTGCGGGCTCCTTGCAGCTGCTAAAGGTATTGAGTACCGGCAGGGAGGGGCAGCCACGGCTGGGCTTGGCGGTAAGTTGGTTGGCGGCAGAGGTTCCAGGTACGGACTGAAGGAGGCGAGCGTTGGCCGCCAGAATACATATTAGACAAAGAATTTAGATAAGAGCATTGGTTGTCACGATTCATTATCAATAGCATCTATGTGTGTATACGTCTGAATTAGAATTGCAGATGGTTTTTTTTTTGGGATTGGTGTGGGCAGAGGCCGGATTTCAAGCTGGTGAGAGCTGCTGCCCTTACTCGCATTGCCTCACGTCTCTGACAAAGACACCAGTAACTGCACCTGGGCATTTGGTAAGCGTTTTAACTTTTTCATCTTTCTCGAAATGACCAGTCAAATATCAATAATTTCTCACGTTGGCCGACAGAGCCATTGTGATGTGACGAAGCCTGGTTGAGCATGGAGCATACTTGGATATGGCGTGCATCGATGAAAGCCGTGTTCTAAGCGCTGTGGTACATACATCAAGGACAGAGGAGATGCGCATGTACGAGTACGAAAGGCGAAGCAAGTTCTCTTCAAACGTTGAGGAATTTCTATTTATATAAACAGAGCTTTACCTCGTATAAGATTAACACAATACCTAATAACAACTCATGTCTGGTCTCGCACTTGCGCCAGCCAAGATCCCTTGCCCCTGGCCTTGGGCTGTGGAGAAGAGCTGCAAGACAGACCGCTATATCACTGCAGAAAACTGCAGCCCGACAGCGTGCCTTGGAGAAGCGAAACTAGCGCGTTTCTTCTGAGGATGGCTGCATGTACAAGTATTTTGTAACACGAGCAGTTGGAGCATTCTGCCTATAACTGATCCATGGATGTCATTGTGTCTAACGCCTAACTTGCACAGGGACAATGGCAGATACAGCTGCATGCAAGCAATGGCTGCGTGTTTGCCTCACCGCCCCCTGCTCGGCGCCGGCGACATTCGCAAACCCAAATCCATTCTGGTAAGCCTCAGCCTCGATCGATGGCCGGGGTTCGGGTCAGGTACACGACTCTTTGTTTTTAAACCGCAGCGGCTAGCAGTGATTGCGCGGTTCCTGCGGCCGGCCGGCCGGGCTGCTGCGTGTCGCTACGGGTCGCTAACGGGGTTTGGCTGAGTTTGGCTGCGCCCACGATCGCCTGTTGCCGGGCCAACATGCCACGCCCAGCATTTGTTTGGCGGGTGAGCGCTCGAGCTGTGCGGCTGCTCCACTGCGGACGTTTCCAGCTGGCATGCACACGCATGTCCCCAGAGCCGCTGCATCTGAAGCCCGCCTTTATCTTTATGCAGTCCGGGGCCGTATTCCACCTCGCAAAATAATCTTTTGTCTTGTTTTGTCGGGTTGCGATATTCTTTTATTTGTGTATTTCTTCCCTCCCACGGCGATTGCGACGAGCGCCTCATCGACCTCGCAACACACCGCATCGTCGCATCAGCGGTATCGTGTCTCGCGTCACATCGAAATTGACTTGATTGCTGGTGGTGCAGGCCGCTTGGCTTGGGTCTGGCTCTAGCTCTCATTCTAACAGCATTCCAAAGCTTAAACATCCGCCCACAGGCATTGCATGACAATGGACCGCCATCGTCGCTCCGACATACCTCCCGATTATAGTTTGCCGCCGTACGACGACGAACTGGACTCGCCCACCGGCCATGGCGCCGCCGCCGTTAGATTGTTGACATCGGTGGAAGAGTCCGCTGAGAGACCGTACGTGACACAGCCGTCGCCATTGGCAACACCGGCTTCCCCAAAAACATCCCCAGCCTCCATATCGACGCTGTCTTTGCAACCCAAGACGGCCTCGAAACTCCACGGATCCAGTTCCGGGACATCCACCATGGCTTTTGACGAGTGTCCAAGAGCCGCCTCGAGCGTGGAAACCAAGCCGGAGACGGATATGCAAGCAGCAAACTCCACGGCGGATGACCATGCTTCTGGCTCTCCTTCTGTTCACCACCTCCCCAACCCCCCTCTTCCCGATGTTGTTATCCCCCCTCCTCTTTATATCAAACAAGTTCGCAAGATCAACACCGCAAAGTTGCCACGCAGCCCAACAAGTCCAAATCTGGCGGAAGCCTTGCCAACCATCCCGGAGGGGCCAAGTGAGCGAATCCGGCGACGACGAGGGAGTCTATCCGCGTCCGACCAGCCAGCTTCTCAGCCAGCTTCTCAACCAGACATACATCAACAGCAAACCCCACCACCAGTCGTAGTGGAAGCTGCTGCAGAGACAACTCCAACAACACCAAAAAGGAAAAAACCCACAGTTAGATGGAAGACCCAAAGCTCACACGATAGGCCGATTAGTTCGCGATCACCGCGACCTCAATACGAACCCAGTGTCTTGTCCTCTCACACTCGGACGGGGTCTATTCGGGACAACGCTCCCAGCATTCCGCCGCCAGATGGGTCTTACATGTCCTATGATACGAGAGATCCACATAGGCCGTGGTCTCCAGCATCGAGACTGACAGACTACTCTCGCCCACCGCCTTCTCATGATTCTTACGAGCCTTCAGACATCAATGGTAGCCCCAGACCAGGAACACCTTCTTCAAGGTATGGCGGCAGCCCGCGACGTCCACTGCCACCGGCACCTCGCTTTGGCAATACCTCGAGAGCCTCGCAATTCACAGACGATATAACCGTTTCAATTCCCTACGACCAGCCTGACGACGAAGACATCTTCCGTCCCGAGTCAGATCTCAGCGATAACCGCCATTATGAGCACAATTACGACCACTATGACTACGATGAAGAAGATGGCCGCGCTTACGGTGATGGTCGCGAGTCGTTCATCTCAGGCGACCAAGAAACTCTAGGAGAAGAGAACGAGTATTTTGACAAATATGAGCACTACGGGCCTGCGCCTGACGGGGCACAAGAGCGACGTGGTGTCCGCGCTCCGCAAATGGCCAAGAAGGAGGTTCCTCTCATCAACGGAGAGCTTGTCCTGGAGTGTAAGATCCCAACCATTCTTTACAGCTTTCTGCCACGACGAGATGAAGTTGAATTCACTCATATGAGATACACGGCCGTGACCTGTGACCCGGATGACTTTGTCGACAGGGGGTACAAGCTCCGGCAGGCCATCGGTCGCACGACTCGAGAGACTGAGCTCTTCATCTGTGTGACAATGTACAATGAAGATGAGATTCTCTTCACCAGAACCATGTATGCCGTCATGAAGAATATTTCCCACTTCTGTTCTCGATCTCGATCCCGTACCTGGGGTGAGAATGGCTGGCAAAAGGTGGTCGTTTGCATCATCTCCGATGGCCGTGAGAAAATCCATCCACGCACACTAGACGCTTTGGCGGCCATGGGAGTATACCAGCACGGTATCGCCAAGAACTTTGTCAACAACAGGGCCGTGCAGGCTCACGTCTACGAGTACACGACACAAGTCTCACTCGACTCCGATCTCAAATTCAAGGGCGCTGAAAAGGGTATTGTGCCGTGCCAGATCATCTTTTGTCTCAAAGAAAAGAACTCGCGCAAACTCAACTCACACCGTTGGTTCTTCAATGCATTTGGCAAGGCCCTGAACCCCAACGTCTGTATTTTGCTAGACGTGGGAACACGTCCCGGAGGTACTTCGCTGTACCATCTTTGGAAGGCTTTTGACTTCGACTCCAACGTTGCTGGGGCATGTGGTGAAATCAAAGCCATGAAGGGCAAATACGGATCGTACCTTTTGAATCCTCTAGTTGCGTCCCAGAACTTCGAATACAAGATGTCCAATATCTTGGATAAACCTCTGGAGTCTGTTTTTGGATACATTACGGTGTTGCCCGGTGCCCTCAGTGCCTACCGTTACCATGCTCTCCAAAATGATGAAACTGGTCATGGGCCTCTCAGCCAGTACTTCAAGGGTGAGACCCTTCACGGCCAACACGCCGACGTGTTCACTGCCAATATGTACCTGGCCGAAGATCGTATTCTTTGCTGGGAGCTCGTAGCCAAGCGAGGCGAGAGATGGGTTTTGAAATATGTAAAGGGTTGCCACGGAGAAACTGACGTTCCCGGTATGTCGCTTTTTGAGGGTTGCATCTTGCACACTGCCCTAAAAAGAAAGAAAGAAGCTAATATTTTCTAGACTCTGTTCCTGAATTCATCTCTCAACGAAGAAGATGGCTGAACGGTGCCTTCTTCGCTGCTGTCTACTCCCTTGTCCAAATGCGACAGATTCTACAGACTGATCATACGCTTGCACGCAAGGTCCTTCTTTACATTGAGTTTGTCTATCAATTTGTCCAGCTGCTCTTCACGTACTTCTCTCTCGCAAACTTCTACTTGGCTTTCTACTTCGTCGCTGGTGGACTGGCAGACCCAACGGTCGATCCGTTCGGGCATGGCATCGGAAACGTCATCTTCATCATTTTGAGATACACATGCATCCTGCTCATCGCCATTCAGTTCATCTTGTCACTCGGAAACCGTCCACAAGGCGCACGAAAGCTGTATCTTAGCAGTATGATTATCTACAGCATCATCATGGTTTACACGACTTTCGCCATCATCTACATTGTCATCAGACAGTTCACGCACAAGGAGGGTGGCCAAACGCTAACACTCGGTAATAACGTGTTTACGAATCTCATTGTGTCCATGGCATCGACGATAGGCCTGTACTTTGCCATGTCATTCCTGTATCTCGATCCGTGGCACATGTTTACTTCTGCTGGTCAATACTTCCTCCTGCTGCCAAGTTACATCTGCACACTTCAAGTCTACGCTTTCTGCAACACGCACGATGTCACCTGGGGTACCAAGGGTGACAATGTTATCAAGACTGATTTGGGTGGTGCCGTCGGAAAAGGCGAGACTGTTGAGCTTGAAATGCCCAGCGAGCAGCTCGATATCGACAGTGGATATGACGAAGCTCTACGCAATCTGCGTGATCGAGTCGAAGTCCCGGAGAAGCCCCCGAG